ATGCTCTTTCAACTCTCGGTTAAACATTTCTGCGGAATAGAATTCAAAGGGGAAAAACTGGAAGTTTCGAATGCGCAGACATACACTGACAAAATATGGCGTCTGCAAGATGTTGTACTGAAAGATTATCTATTGAAAGTTGTGAGTGATTGTTGTCGTTGCGACTCGGCTTTATGTGGTAGGGCAATGGATAATCAGATGAGTTTGGGATTAGGAAACCTTTGCTTGATGGACTTTGAAAAAATACCTAAGCGCACTTGCATTTACCCACATCACACTCCTGTCACTTGCCTTAACTGAATTTTAAACTTACTTTTTTTTCAGATTTGTTTCTTTCTCATTTTATTTTAAAATTTAAATGTCCTGTTTAACTGAATCTTTAAATGTATTTTCTCTCATTTTTTTCTTTGTGTCTTAAAAAAAACACCTCCTGTCACCCTCCTCCCCCCCCCCCCCCCCCCCCTCTTTCTCGTGGCCTGCGAGATTTGGTAGTGAATTTCCAGGTAGTTCCCCGGAAGGTCCTTTAGTTGTGGGGAGGAGGGGGGGGGATTAGATTTAGTTGGCATTCGTTTAACACTAACCATATAACACTAACATTGCAATGTTCTAGGCGTGTCATGTGTTGATTGTTTTCCGCATGTTCATCCGTCAATCCCACTGTGTGTTACAGTCGTTTTTTCATTGCCATTACTGTGACCCTGTTTGCAAGCGGTGTTCTCACTTCGTAATTTCGTTGGAATTTCCTTGACCTGTCAGCATTCCAGCATCTAACCCTTAGCCTAATCGACGAGTATGCATACATGGAGACTGTCGCTCCTTTTTAGTGCTCTCTGCCGCTGACACCCCAAGATGGACTTTTTCAGTGCCCTCCACCGTCAACACCCCAAGATGGACTTTTTCAGTGCCCTCCACTGTCAACAACCCCAAGATGGACTTTTTCAGTGCCCTCTACCGTCAACACCCCACGATTGGCTTTTTCAGTGCCCTCCACTGTCAACAACCCCAAGATGGACTTTTTCAGTGCCCTCCACTGTCAACAACCCCAAGATGGAATTTGTCAGTGCCCTCCACCGCCGACACACCAAGATGGACTTTTTCAGTGCCCTCCACTGTCAACAGCCCCAAGATGGACTTTTTCAGTGTCCTCTACCGTCAACACCCCAAGATGGACTTTTTCAGTGCCCTCCACTGTCAACACCCCAAGATAGACCTTTTCAGTGCCCTCCACCGTCAACAACCCCAAGATGGAATTTGTCAGTGCCCTCCACCGCCGACACAACAAGACTGACATATTCTCTGCCCGCCCCAAAATATCGCCAGTTGGCATCGCATTGCCTAACGTCTGCCCTAGGGAAACACCGGCTCAAGCCTAACTTTACGGGTCGCCAAGTGAAGTAAAGAATACAATAAAGTTCATACTAGAGACCACACTGCAAATACAGATAATCTATTTCGGGCGAACGAAAGAAGAAGAGGAAACTAAACTCCTCCTCCCCCCCCCCCCCCCCCCCCCCCAATCCCCTCATACTATAGGATCTTCCGGGGAACTACCTAGGAATTCCCTACCAAATCTGACAGCCGGCGAGTTGGGGTGTAAAGGCTGCAAAGTACCCCAAACATGCAAAATTACTTACCTCAATTTCTCTAAAGGTATTTTTCCATCTCTCTTGTCTTTTAAGCTCAATTTACTTATTTAAATATTTAAACGTAATTGTTCTAAGTCTTTAATTTCAAGTACTGGAGTTCTAAAAAAAAAAGAGAGAAAGAGAGAGAGAGAGAGAGAGAGAGAGAGAGAGAGAGAGAGAGAGAGAGAGAGAGAGAGAGAGAGAGAGGGAGAGAGAGAGTAAAGGTAAAGATCAGGAGACAGGGGCAGGGAAAGAGTACACCAACTGCTCCTGCTGTTGTTGATACACCAGTAGTTAAAAGCTTCTACAACAACAACAACAACAAGAAAAAAAAAAAACTATACACACACAACCTCTGCTATACCTCCGCATCAACAACAGATAATCAGATGAATTTAGGATTATATACCGTTTTTTTTTTTTTTTTTTTGGGCTTAAATAATACATAAGTAATTTTATTAAATATAACACTACTGTCACTTGTCTTGTTTAACTGACATGTGGGGTGTTTTTTTTTCGTCTAATTCTTTCTCTCTCTCTCTCTCTCTCTCTCTCTCTCTCTCTCTCTCTCTCTCTCTCTCTCTCTCTCTCTTCTTTCTTTAGCATTCGCCTATCAGGAGAGGAAGGGAAAGGGAGAAAGTGGTTGGAAAGAGATGTGATTCCCTGTACAGTCCAGGCTTTTGGTTATATTTTAGAATAATTAATAACACCAACATTAGTCCAATATCTGCGTCAACAACTAGAATGAGAAACAAAAATACTACTACTGCTGCTGCTATTATTTCTAACGCTGCTGCTATTACTGCTGGTGCTACTGCTGCTACTGTTAAAGCTAGTGCTGCTGCTGCTACTACTACTTCTACTACTACAGCTGC